GTTGCGATCCGTTGCCGGACACGGAAAAAAGACAAAAGACAAAAAAAAAAAAAAAAAAGAAGGGAAGCAGAGTATTATTACATTTTAGCTTATAAACAATGTAAACATTTTTCCAGAACCACTTGTACTACAAACTATAAGGTCAACTTTGTAATAATAACTCATCCAATTTTGCTTTGGTAGCATAATATCTTAGATCAGGGCTTCTTCAGTTAGTTGATTGCTGGTAGAAAGTTGGCTGGTAGGCACAGGTAGACAAAGTTAAACCCTGTTTGCACTTTCCTTATTCCACCTCCATCCCCAACCAAAATTTGTTGTGCCTGTTCTATATTCTATTGTCCATCTATTGGGATCCTCCATCATGGAAGGACTTCCTGCCTACCTGCAGTGAGTAAGGTCAGAATACAGCATCCAGCTGTCATCTCCTTCAGGATCAGCATCAGTTTAGAGAGCCTGGATGGAGATCTGGATAGTACATCCCCACTCATGTCTACCACAATAATGCAAAACATCCAAATGGGATTTACCCCAGGAATGCAAGGTTAGCTCAACATTCAAACACCTTAGTATAATTCACCACATTAACAGAATAAAAAAAAAAATCAACCATCGTTAGAGTAGATGCAAAAAAATAACCACTAGACAAAATTCAAAATTCATTCATGATGAAAACTCTCAGGAAACTAGTAAAAGAAGGAAATTTCTTCACTCTGATAAACAGCATCTGTAAAAAACCTATAGCTAACATCATACTTCACATCATACTTAACATCAGTCATTCAAGTGAAAGACTGAATTATTTTCTTCTTAGATAAAGAATACAACAGGGATCACTATTTTCACCACTTCTATTTAATATAGTATGGAGTGTTAATCCAATGCAATAAGGCAAAAAAAGAAGCAAATGGCATATAAATAAAAAATCACAGATAACACGATTATCTATGTAGTGTATTGTAAAGGAAAATTTAACAGTGCTCAGATATTTACCTAGGGAATAATGTTTTTCAAAATTAGTGGGGGGGAAATGTTTTAAAATTTATTCTGTGCTGGTTTTAGAATTGCCTTAGTTCACTTTCCTTTGATTCTGCAGTTTTCATCTGACCTGTTTACAGAAACGCAGCTATTCATATAAATTCACTTTCTTCTCTGACACAATTCTGCTATCTCATGCATTCTCATTTCTCGCCTCTAGTGAGTCTTAATGAAAGACTGTTTTTGTGTAACCTGATTCCATGTTCAACTTTGACATCTTGCCCAGAATATTTATCCTTATTATTTATCTCACATACGTTTTCCCATAGTTTTTCTTACTGAAATTTTCAGCTCAGATATTTTACATTAAAAAATTAGTTAATAAAAGAAGTGTTTAGGATTTATAGAACATATTTTTCATGGCCTTAGGCCACCTAAGGTTGTGTCCTTAGAAGATTAAAAAAGAAGAAAAAGGATCCTGAGGTCTCAAGACTATGGACCTTTAACTATTGGGGTCTTTATAGAAATATTATGATGATTTCATAAACCTCAGGAATCTTTTAAGCCACCTTGAGCCCAGTTTTTTATTTTTTATTTCACAGTATCATTACAGGTATTTTCCCTGCATTATGTGTATTTCATACCTATATGTATAGATAGATATTCCTCCACCTCAAGGTTAGAAAATGGCCTGCAGAGGTTGAGATTTTAGTTAGCTCATTTTTCCAGCACTCTGCTTTGTCAAGGTCTCCACAGACATGTGTCAGCTTAGCTAATGCGTTCTACATACTGGAATCTCCATGAGATCTGCCTGTAGAGATGCAACAAGACATGAATGCACTAGGCCATGGGATTGGGCGAACTACAGCCTCATCCATCTCCCTGCCTCTTTTTGTAAATAAAGTTTTGTTGGAACATGTCTTGCCCTCACAGTACAATAGCAGAGTTGAATAGTTGTGACAGAGACATTATGTATGACTCACAAAATTGAAAATATTTACCATCTGACCCTTTACAGAAAAAGTTTGCTGACCCCTGTACTACACTATCTCTCCAGTCTTCTCCCTGAAGAAGGAAGCTGCCAGGATGCAAAGCTATTCTTTCGTCCAACCAATGTTTACTGAAGACCCATTATGTGCCAGGCAAAGTGTAATTCTAAAACCACCTTGGCACATGTGGTTTGGCAGATATTGGTAGATACCTGAACCTCAGACTCCTTCCTCTACATCCTAATGAGGAAAACATGCTTTCCTGCCCCCACAGAGTGGGCCTCACAATGAGTACCCAGACTCCTCAGGGTGAGGAATGTGTTTTTCTGGACTGTGACTAAATCTTCCAGTCTGCTGGCTCATCACCCCTGGCTTTTTAGCCAGGTGCTAAGATTTGGGGACAAGGGTGCAGAGACCTATCATCCATAAATATCATCCCTTTTTGGTCACAAAGCATGGAGTCGCTGATACATTTGAAAATTGATTCCCAGTGTTTGTTTGCAAAGTTTTTGTTACCATGGTTAAAAATGCCCAAATCCTTACTTCATTTTGGACAATAAATTGCTAAGGAGTGGACTATGTAAATCCAGAGATTTTTGGAGAACTCCCATATGGCAGTTGAACCTCGTGCTGAGGCTCAAGTCTTGGTGCTTCCAGAGCTGTCTCTGCCCTTTAGAAGATGTGTTCAATAATCCTGCCTGAGGGAAAAACAATTCAGGGGACTATGTAAATCCAGAGATTTTTGGAGAACTCCCATATGGCAGTTGAACCTCGTGCTGAGACTCAAGTCTTGGTGCTTCCAGAGCTGTCTCTGCCCTTTAGAAGATGTGTTCAATAATCCTGCCTGAGGGAAAAACAATTCAGGTCACAGCCTGGACCAGACTGTCTGACTGGGTGCCAATTGCTGAGGATTTGTTCTCTGCAGCGTATCTCTTACTGATTTTCTCCTTTCTCTTCCCATTGCCTCTCTGCTGCCTTTGGCCTTCATTTGATCTCCTCTGACTCAGGGTAACAGATGCTGGTCTCCCCAGTTCTGGAGCTCACATAGCTGCCTGGTTGACATGACTAAACTGCAGCTAAGTGCAGGGGAGGCAAGGCCAGCACTAGAGCTCAATCTCCCAGCCCCAGCTCTGTCTACTGAGCTCTGCAGCTGCCTTTTGAAGAGCCCTTCCCAATGCTTTCAACACAGCTGCTTCTATCCTTTTCTAAAGGTTAGAGAAAGTCCAGTTTAGCAGCTGATACTCTATTGATTTTGGTGCTTATATCTAAGGATCCTAACACTATGTTGCTTCTGTTTCCACCGATAGAGAAAGTGGCAGAAAATGGCTAGTTTCTTCCAATTTCTCCCTTGATTAGAAAAGAGGCCAGGGAAATTTGTATCTTTGGCCTTATTCATAAAGTAACCTTGCAGGATTATGTATTCTCTCCAGAGCTGCTAGATCTCTTTCTCCCCAACTCCTTTGGGCACTCACTCACCCCAGTGTCCTGATGGATCTGCATGTGCCTAGTCAGGAGCTGCTGTCAGCCTTGAACCATTTTCTGAGTCCCATGCACCAGTGGCGTGGCTGGAATGGCACAAGCTTGCCAGCCATGGCCATTTAGCCCTCACACGGTAGTGGCACCTCAACCCACCCAAGAGACAGAGGCTCTAGGGCTATCATCACTTAGAGTCATTATGAGGAATAAGAGAAGGAAGAACGTGACTGAAGCAAGGACTCTGTGCT